CGGGTTCCCCGGGCGCCGGGCAGGTGCCGCCTGGAGACAGCCTCCGGGTTGGAAACGGGCGATGATCCTGAGAAGGTGGCGGAAGCCCTGGGGCCGCGGGGAGGGGGACCGCACGGCTGTTTCCAGCTGCTTTCCTCCGCGGCCCCTGGCCTCTCCTGCAGGCCTCACCTGTGAATTCATGCAACAGGCAGTTACGTACCTTTGTCTGCCCTCTCCAGCGGGAGGCAGAAGCCAGTAAACCAGCCATGACTTGCTGAAGCGGTGAGGCCTGCGTCCACCCACTGTCATGTTACTGTCGTGTGTCTTTGTGATACAGTGTTACCAACACTGAGTACACAGGACAGGCTAGCCAGTGATGGCGAACCTTTTGAGCTCGGCGTGTCAGCATTTTGAAAAACCCTAACTTAACTCTGGTGCCGTGTCACCTATAGAAATTTTTTGATCTTTGCAAGACAAAGACTTCTATTTTTGATATTTATTTTATATATTTAAATGCCATTTAACAAATAGGTTCGCCATCACTGGGCTGCTGGCCGGGGGTGAGCCTTTCCAACAGGGACCAGCATGCATCCTGCGTGTGGTCTGTACATGAGCCCTGGGAAGCAGCCGGTTTAGCCTCCTCTCACATACCAGGATCCTCTTCATGTTACATGTGACGAAACTGGGGCTCTACAGAGAGACCGGGAAGGAGGCTGTCGCACTAACATTAAAACACCTTCAGAGGCTGCAGGCAGGTCTTGTGGATTAGGGCCTAAAGGCCACGGAATTGATGCCTGGGACCTTCGAGGAAGCAGCTGCAGTGGCTGGGGAGTGAGCCCAGAGACAGGGAGGGTGGCTGTCGCTGCTGGAGGCCTGGCTGCAGCCCACCGTCCCGGCTCATGCCAAATGCCGCCTCTGCACAGTGCTCCGTGGATGGGCCTGTTCCTTCTCTGAAGGGTGGCATTTATTGAGCACCTACTATGTGCAGAGCATTGTGCTAAGGACTTCAGCTCTGTCTCAGTGACCCTCCCACCAGCCTTCGGGATGGGAACAGCTCTCGTCTCTATTTACTGCGTGAAGGTGCTGAGACTCAAGAGAGCCCTTTCCTGCCCTAGGCCTGTCTTCCCTCCACCTCCAGGTAAAGCGATGCTCTGGAACCGCACGGCCCAACACCTTAGCCACCACCACGTGCGGCCATTTAAATTTAAATGGATTAAAATGAAATACAGTTAAAGATTAATTTCCTCAGTCACACCAAGCACATTTGAGGTGCTCAGCAGCCAGTGTGACTGCTGGCGTCGGGTTGAACAGCGTGAATGTAGAGCATTGCGACCATGACCGAAAGTTCTGCTCTGGCTGCGTGCCAGTCCCCACTGCCCTGGCTGTGCAGATCCCGCTTTGGGGCAGGAGGAAGTGCATCCTGAGCCCCGTTCTGTGCGCAGGAGGCCAGGTCGGCAGCAGCGGGCCTTGTGGAGGGGAGGGGCAGTGAGGGGCATGTGGGGTCAGAGCAGGCCCAGTGGGGGAGCAGGACAGAACCAGCCTGGAGGTGGGCAGGTGTGGGTGAAGGTACAGACTGTGCCGTACTCGCGTGGAGCAGGACGGGGAGAAGACGGCCCAGAAGAGCTGGACTGACCCTTCCCGGGGACGGCTTTCAGAGCCGGGGCAGAACCCCGACCTGGGTGTCATGGCACCTCCGCCCAGAGGTGACCTCTTTCCTCCTGTGGCTCCTGTCACTCTCGCACGTCAGAAACTCCAGACTCCCCTGGTCACCTCGGGCCTGCGCTGCGCCGTTCCCACCTTTCTCCTGGAGAGAGAGGTTCCGGACGTGACAGAGAACTGTGCCCGTTCACGCCACCCCGGAGGGAGGAGCCCCTCTCCAGGGCACTCCTGCAGGGCCTCGTGGCAGAGGCTGGGGCCTGGACTCGGTCACAAGCAGGGATTCATTCGGGAACGGGGGGGCCTGGGCTTGCTCCTCTGAAACGGACAGGAGTCCCCACCTCAGAGGCTTAAGACAGGGCAGGCAGCCCGAGGGGAGCCCTTGCCTGCCCCGGATCTGACCCGGGGGGGCGACTGCCCGCACGCAGGCAGGCAGGAGGTGGTTCTGACTGGGTTTGAGGAAAGAGCCGGGTGCAGCGCAGGACCCCACGAGCCCCTCTGCCCCCAGGTTCTCCCAGATGGTGCAGGACAAGCCCCTGCGCACCTCCTGGCAGCGGAAGGTGAAGGAGCGGCAGGAGCGGAAGCTGGCCAAGGACTTCGCCCGGCACCTGGAGGAGGAGAAGGAGAGGCGCCGGCAGGTGAGGGCGGAGCCAGTGTCTG